TTGGAGTGGACTGAAATAAAAGGAAAATGGTTCAATTTTGCATAAACATGCACAGCAACAAAAAGTTAATGCATAGGTTTCTTATGTCAAACTGTTTGAGCTGGCTAGTCAGGGGGCTAAGTCATTAACTTTGGCTGTACAGAGTGGTCCTAGCCAGTGTTCCCTCTAAGCTGAGTTATCGTGAGCTAGGTCACAGTTTTTTCGCCTCCGGCTCACACGTTTTTGTCTTAGCTCAGGAAGGATGGCTCCAGAGCAAACTAATATATGCAGCAGCCAAATTGCTCACTCACAACTTTAATGCCAGTAGCTCACAAAGTAGAGATTTTGCTCACAAGACTCCACAGGTTAGAGGGAGCATTGAATATGATCTAATGCTGGAGAGAGCCACAAGACCAATATGCTCTCTTGGCATTGGCCCCAGGGATGGTACAGAAGGGAACAGCTGGTGAGCTGTCTTCACCCGCTGAGCCTCCAATACAAACTCAGGTTAAGTTAGGAAGAAGCTGAAAGACAAGTGCAAAAATGGAATGAATTGCAAAGTAAAAAGAAAATATGCTGCGGGAAATAGATTTAAATGAAAATCTTGACAATGCCTGGTGTGTGTGTGGGGGAATTGAAGTGACATCATTCTACTGGACCAATCCTCTAGGATTTACCCCTAACTGTATAGTTTAGCTATAGAGTTTTGGGTGAATCCTAGAGTATCACCCTGACACAATGACATGAGTTCTGTTTTTTCAATGGTGTTGCACGCTGCTGGTGTGCTTGTTCCCACCCCTAAATTCCAGCTGCAGATGGCAACCGTAGTTTTTTAATAAAAGCAGAAATGGATCTCATTTGGTCTCTGGAAAAACAATGAGGCTGGGGACTTTCGTCTAGGATCACCAACCTCCACACTACAAAGACCAGTTCCCTTGGGGGAACTGGCAGCTCAGGTTCCCAAACAACAATGAATGGATCAAGAAAAACATGGGATTGAGTCTTGTGTGGTTTCTACAAGTAGAATGAGGATGCAGTCCTTCTTCTCAGGGATGCCGAGAGGTGAAAACTGGGGGGGGGGATTCCTGGGCCCCTGAAGCCAGTGTCATGCTGTATTCATCTGACACACCTGAGATTCCCCTGATAAAGCCTGTTGGCAAAACACTTATGGAATTTTGGGGGGATGTAAACCTAGTAATAAAATATAATTTTACCTGATTTTGCACCATCGGTCTCGGCCTTAGTTTTTATCTTCAGGCAGAACACACAATAATGGCCATGTTAGACCAAAGGGCTCACTTAGGACAAAGCAGCTTCATGTGTTTGTTTGGTTTGGTATAGTTGGGCTTAGTTCATGGCAGGGAGGTGAAAAGGCCGGTTGGATGAAGCCATCAGGAGAAGTTCAGTCTTGTGGAGACAAATTAGCATTGGGTCTTTCTTAGAGTGGCACTTTGACTAGAAACTGGACCACTGGCACCCTCGTATCCCTGCTAGGAACCTGAACAGGCAGGTGCTGACGGGGTCAATGCGGCCTCCCAGGTTTTCAGTTTCTACAACTAAATTTAGGGTCTACTTGAACCCCCACCCCCTTTAAAATAGCTGCACTGTGCATGGGTCAGGCCCATACAGATGCCTTCATAGTTTGGGCCCCAGAAACCTCCTCAATAAATTCTAAGCCAGCCATTTGACACTGAAGTCTGAAGTGCTTCTGTTAAATAACAGTGACTTTCAGGTCAGCACTGAAGCATCCTGTTAGATAGAAATGTTATTTGGATGGTTTTAGATCAAATTTCTGTCCATTTCGAAACCCCCAAAGCTTCCTTATCCTGAGTTAGATCGTGTTGGCATATGCAAGGTCTATCGTACATAGAGAAAGAAAATGACAAGAACACCCTGCAGGGGGCAGCAGAAGGCACAGTGAGATTAGGGACTTCCGACTATTTTCAGATAGGCTCCTTCCCATCTCCTGATTGGCTCAATTAAGGTCCCCCCCCCCGCTCCTGCTGAGAACTGTTCGTTACTGTTTCCCTCTTAGCTAGACAGTTAGACTTCTTTTTCCTCTCTCCTCTTATAAAGTTTGTCCTCTTCTTAGTAAACCAACTTAACCCTTTAAGCAGCTCCCTTTTACTGCATATCTACACTCTGCTGATTGGTGGTCTGTCAAGGTTTTCATTGTCTGCTTTAACTGTCAGTGGCTTTCCAGGATCTCAGGGAGAGGTCAATTGCATGCAATTGTACAGAACACAGCCAGAAGGAACAAGAAGGAAACCAACTCCGCTCCCCTCACCCTGGTTAACTGGGTTTGTCAAGGACTCCAAGGCTGAACCCAGTGGGTTGCCAGGACTAATGTACACAAGAAGCCAAGCCTTTTCTATAAAGTTTTATATCTAATATCTTTCAAGAAAAAAATGTTTAATCTACAGGCAACACAACACTCTAAAATCACGCAGCAAGAAAAACAAGAAAACAAGCTTACTTATCTAATATGTTTCCAACATGTGCGTTAGATGGTACAGATTTGAAGTTCAAGAGTCAAAGTCCATCGCTCAGGTGCTCTCTACGCTGTTATCTATTGCAATATAAGCATATCATAGTCCAGGCCTTCAGTCCATTAGAATCCAAGGTAACCTCCCTTTTCCAGGCTCTTAGTTCAATTATAGTTTTTGGGCCAAGCAGCATCAGGTGATGGTGACATCCAATCAGCACTCGTTCTTGCTGGAACCCTCTAGAAAATTACCTCATCACCCCTCCCGTCCTACAGGCCACAGGTTCACATGAGAAGCTAATTACCACATTTCCAGCCATGGCCTTGATGATGATAAGGGCTGTGTAGGCCGAGAGACCAATTAGAAACACCTGCAGGATGGGAAAGGCCTGTTATCATTCACATGAGCCCTTGGTGGTGGTGGGGGAGTGCTTTGCCTCACAGGGTTACATTTCTGGTTTATCTTTAACGGAAAGAACAAATGAACTTCAGTGAAAAGATTAGATTGCAGTATACAGGGTAGAGGATTCAGAAGCCAGTCAGAATAGAGTTTGGACAGTGACTCCTGAATCGAGGTGCTACAAGAGTATCTTCATTTGTCCAAGAAACGTTGGAGAGTACGTACATGAGTTGTTGCCTTCCCTCCAGAGGCACAGCTCTTCTCTCTTCTTTGGAACCTGGGAAGCCCCTGAGTGAGGCTGCCAACTGAGCTGGGAAATTCCTGGAGATTTTGAAGGTAGAGCCTGGGGATGGCAGGGTTTAAGGAGGGGAGGGAGCTCCATGAGGTATAATGCTGCAGAGTTCACCCTCCATCAGCCAATTTCTCCAGGAAAACTGATCTCTGGAGATCCGTTGTAATTCTGGGAGATCTACAGACCTCACCTGGAGGTTGGCAATCCCACCCCTGAGCCCCAGTTGCTAGATCTGTGCCATGGGGCGCCCCCTTTTCTGCACACTGAAAGGTAAAACCCTGGACACTGCCAGGACAGCTTTGCTCACCTGAGCAAGTTCTTCTGCAGGTGTCAACCTGCAAATGTGCAAAATCAACAACTGCTTGTGCACATGCCTGTACACAGTGTGCCTTACGGAATGGCCTCCCTGAGGGGATTAGGAGGGCTCCCGTTCTCCTGGTTTCCCACAAAATATGAAAAACTGTATTGTTCAAGAGGGCACCAAAAGATTCACAAAGTTACTTGGATAAATTATTGGGGACTGTGGTCTATGCTACTGTGTTCAGCTTGCTAAAACTAAATTCCAGCTGTGTGATTTATGCATCATTTAATGTGCCGTATTAATACTTCTGCTTTGCTTTAGTTCTGTTTTTTTAGACCTCCAGTTGTCTCTACAACCTTTATCCTACTGTAGTGTTTATTGCATGTCCCACCTCGTTGATTCTATTGACTACCTCTGTGTAGTCCACCTTGAGTCCAAGTGAAAAATAACTCTAAATAACATGGATAAGCAAACAAATAAAGCAGGCAATGCTCAAATTTTCCTTAATGTGCAGTATAATGAAAATCGTATTGCACAACAGACAAAGAGAGAAGAGTTGACCCCAAGGCAAACTAGATGCCCTCCCACAGCTGTTTCAGCTCTTGAGACGATGCACTGGGGTATGACTACAAGAGCGCCACATCTGGCCAGGCCCTCGTGGCATTTTTAAATTGCCTCATTAGGCTTTAAAATGGCAATGACGTCCATGGATCGAACCTGTCTATACTATCGTGTCTAGTTTGGCCCTCAGAGACTTCCTTGATGAATTCTAAGCCAGCTGTTTGACACTGAAATCTGAAGTCCTTTTGCTAAAGAACTGTGAACACATGAAGCTGCCGTAGGCTGCATCAGACCCCTGGTCCATCAGAGTCAGTACTGTCTACTCAGACTGGCAGTGGCTCTCCAGAGTCTCCGGCAGAGGGGTCTTTTCATGTCACCTACTGCCAGATCTTTTTAGCTGGAGATGCCAGGGATTGAACCTGGGACCTTCTGCATACCAAGCAGATGCTCTACCACTGAGCCATGGCCCCTTCCAGGTCAGCAGCACTGAAGCATCCTGTTAGACTGAAATGTTCTTGGTGCTGATTTTCGAATTCAAATTTGTGTCCACCATGTCTAAAAACCTGAAGCTGTCTCATCTGATCAGTGGTCTGTCATGTCTTCATTGTCTCCTTTAACAATCAGTAGCTCTCCAGGGTCTCGGGAAGACGTTGTTTGTGTACATCACCCAACCTCTAATCTTTTGAACTGGAGACATCAGGGACTGAACCTGGGACCTTTTGTGCCCCAAGCAGAAGTTCTGCCACCAAGCTCCAGCTCCTTTGTAGTGCATTTATGGTGCCACAATTGTCCCTTTTGATGTTGCAGTGAAATAGCCACCACCCTAGAAAGTCCCAGGACTGGATATGTTGGTTTCAGGAGATACATTGGGACCTTTCATATGATCAAGATATTTTGAGCTACAGCAAAAAAACACAACCCATTTTTAAGCCATAAGAATGCAACATTTTGCTCATCTATTTCTTTTTACAGGTTTTGAGCGATGTCAGACAAATACTTCTCCCACAAGGGGATTCCTCTCCCCACAGAGAGCTACTCGGAGGAAGGACTCAGTTATGTGGAAAACGAATTCCGAATCCTAGATGACGATATCATTAATGTCACTTACCCCAAATCAGGTAGGAAAGAAAATGGGTGGAAGAAGAGCTTTGTTATGAGAGCATCGTTGTGTAAAGAAGGGAAACAGGTTTGAAGCAGTAGGAAAAGCAAGAGTCCTGTAGCACCTTAAAGACTAACAAAATTTGGGGCAGGGTATGAGCTTTTGTTAGTCACTGCTCACTCCTTCAGATACAGCTAGAATGTGAGTCCATCAGTCCTTATGGAGTAGAGTGAATTCAGATGCCAGATGACAATAGCAGATGAATGACAATAGCAGACGTGACTGAATTAGGAGTGATGTGCAGAGGGGTAGTAGGTCTGGAGAAATCAACATTGGTAATGAGACAGAAAACCTGTGGACCCTACATTTTTACAATGGCAACATAGCCCAGGCTACCCTGATCTTATCAGATCTCGGAAGCTAAGCAGGGCCAGCCCTAGTTAGTTCTTGGATGGGAGACCACCAAGGAAGTCCAAGGTCGCTATACAGAAGCAGGCAATGGCAAAACCACCTCTGTTCATCTCCTGCCTCGGAAACAATGCTAGCGGCCTTCAAAGGGGGTGGGGGTGGGATGTGCAGCCCATCGTTTGCTAGTTCCTCTTATCAGGGGTCATTTTGTAGAAAAAGAGGTGCAGGAGCTCATTAGCATAACTTATTAGCATAACTTATTTGCATATGCCACACCCCCTGACATCACTGGAAGTGTGTCAGAAGGCAACACCCACAGCTCAGGCTCCACTGGACTGTTTTGGATTGCTAGCTATTGTGGGGGGGGGGAGAACAAGCAGATCTGTCCTTGCAGAGGAGGGAGAGCTTGTACCTGAATAAAACCTGGTCTTAAAGGTGCCACGGGACTGTTTTGGACCAGGGGGCCGGGGGGAGCTCTGCAACTTACCTGGCTGCTTCTTGCTCTGACTGAGGGCTGCTGGGAGCAGGGGGTGGGGCTTGTTGCATGTGCCCGCCCCCTGGGCTCTTTACTGCCGGAGCTCCGCTCTTGTGCGCTCCTGCAGGAAATGACCCCTGCCTCTTATCCTTTGAGCAAAGAAAATGTAACAATGAATTCCTAGGAAACTGTGGATGCTGTGATGTCACTTCCAGTTGAGCCCCTAAGATTTCCATTTGCCCAGGGGCAGCAGATACACTCCTGTCATGGCTCTTCACTGCAGGAGGAGAAAGAATGGGGGGGGGGGAGCAACATTCCATTATGTCACAATATCACTTTTAAGTAAGACAGAGGAAAACAGTGTCCTAAAGAACAAAGCCAGAAAGTTGGTTGTCAAGGAGCAGCAGGAGTTCCCCTCATGAGTCTTTGTCGCCACTTGCATTGCATGTAGCCGGCTCCTGCAATGACTTATCATCAGTTTCAGCTGTTAGTTGGCGTGCACTCTTATGCCTAGCTTGTAAATCCAAAAATCAGCAAATACCGTGCTAGAGACGATTATAAAATATCTCAAATAATTTCACTTTGGAGGAAGCTTTGAGCTCACGAAGAGAGACTTTTTGCAGCATTCATTGAAAAATTTGGATAAATATTTTGTTATTTGGCAACCTTGTGCTTGGAAAGATCTGTTGAACTCCCTGAGGAAGACACTGAAACAGGAGGATATCTGGACCTCTGTTGGAGGAAGACTGAGCACTTATTCAGAATAGACTTAAAGGAGTCCTCCCTCTTAAAACTTTTGTATAATTAAGGAGGACTGATATTAATAAAGGGGTTGTGCAATATCTTTTGTGATATATTAAGAGACGATACTTAGATGTTTTGATATATGATTCTTTCTATGTATTAAGGCTTAAATGATAACTAATATATATGGTGAATAAATTGTAAAAATATAAAACAAAAAACATGTAAAAATTATTTGAGATGTTTTATAATCGTCTGTAGCACGGTATTTGCTGATTGAAGCAAAGATGGCACCTGGTAAACCAGGACCTCATGATGCCCATGATGCTGTCCCTCCGCAGGTTCCTACCCACAAGATGCTCCCAGGGATTGCCAGTGAATGGCTGGAAATGCTAGAGACAACCCTTCTCTCTCGAATGATAAAAGGGTTGGAATACTTTCCCTATGAGGAAAGGTTAAAGCGCTTAGGGCTCTTTAGCTTGGAGAAACGATGACTGAGGGGTGACATGATTGAGGTTTACAAGATTATGCATGGGAAAGAGCAGGTAGAGAAAGAGGTACTTTTCTCCCTTTCTCACAATACAAGAACTCGTGGGCACTCCATGAAATTGCTGAGCGGTCGGGTTAGAATGGATAAAAGGAAGTACTGCTTCACCCAAAGAGTGATTAACACATGGAATTCACTGCCACAGGAAGTGGTGGCGGCTACAAGCATGGACGGCTTCAAAAGGGAATTAGATAAGCATATGGAGCAGAGGTCCATCAGGGGCTATTAGCCACAAGGTATAGATAGGGGCTCTGGGGCAAGTGATGCTCTGTCTTCTTGGTGCTTGGGTGGGTCAACAGTGGGAGGGCTTCTAATGTTCTGGCCCCACTGGTGGACCTCCTGATGGCACCTGGTATTTTTAGCCACTGCGTGACACAGAGTGTTGGACTGGATGGGCCTTTGGCCTGATCCAACATTGGCGTCTCTTATGTTCTTATGTTCGCCCTCTTCCTTTATTGTTTACCAGCAAACCCTCATGTTCACAAGTTAATATACTGCATGGGGGTTGGCCCTTGGGCCACTGTGATATTACTCAGTCTTTCACATGACGCTTTTAAAGAAATTGGTGATGTGTTGAAGAGGGAGCCTAATGTCAGGCGAACTTCTCTCTAGGTACCAACTGGATGTCGCAAATCTTGAGTTTGATCCAGCATAATGGGGACAGCACATGGGCCTGCAGTGAGCCAGTGTGGGACCGGGTACCTTGGATTGAAACTACTACTGGTCTGGAGCAAGCTTTGAAATATCCTCCACCTAGGCTCCTGGCTTCACACCTGCCATTCCAGCTTTTCCCCAAGTCTTTCATTCATTCCAAAGCCAAGGTAACAGAGGGACAACAGAAATGGGGAGTTCTGCAGTGTGCATAGGTGGGGAGGGACCTTGGCTCAGTGGTAGAGCATCAGCTTGGCATGCAGAAGGTCCCAGGTTCAATCCCCACAGCTCCAGTTAAAAAGGCTCAGGTGACTGGTGAAGAGAAAGGCCTCTTCCTGAATCCCTGGAAAGTCTCTGCCTAGCTGAATAGACAATACTGACCTTGACAGATGAAAGGTTTGATTCATAATGCAGGGCATGTGCAAGAAACGTGCCATTTAGTAAACTAACAGTGCAATACTAAACACAGGTACACAATTCTAAGACCACTGAAGTCGATGGGCTTATAAGGGGGTACCTCTGTTTAGGACATCAAGAGAACTCTTGTGCATGGCGGTGGTGATCTTGTGTAGGTAGGAAAAAGTCATGCTTCCCTTGTATGCTCAGGACAAATCTTACTCTAGTCCCGGTTCTCTGTTCCTATCCTTAATATGACCCCCCCCCCATGTAAAAATAAATGGACAAAATATCACAGTTCACAGAATCACTTCTAGATTTTCAGGATTTGCTTTTGAAAATTGATTTTGCAGACTACTTGTAAAAAAACCCAAAACCCTTAGCCCTTCTTGAAATTCAATATTTTTACATCTTGTTACTCTACCTTACTGGTGCTTCTGCCTCTCCTACAGATTATATTCACTATGCGCCATCCGAAGGATGTGATAATCTCTTTATACCACTTTTCCAAAATCATGAAAACATTGAAGGAGCCTGGAACTTTAGAAGAATTCCTAGAGGAGTTCCTGGGAGGGAACGGTATGGAAATCCTCCGAAATCTTTCAACCAAAATCGCAACAGCCATGCATCAAGTACCTGTTCAATCCTCTAACCACTGGGCACCTCTCTTGGAGACAGGAGCAGAAGCCTGCCTGTCATCATTTCTCATATACTGCCATGACTCATGCACAGATATTCTAAGCCCATTCACATACGGTAGTAACACTAAGGTTGCCAGCCCCCCACTGGTGACCCCTGGGAAATTTCAAGGAACAAAGCATTTCCAGGAACAAAGCATTGAAAACAGCATTGCTGATGGTGTGATGGCATATCCAAGCAAAACCCAGAAGTGACATCAGTCTACTCTATGAACCAACAAAAACTTTATGATTTTACCATAGAGTTTTCTGGAATTCCTAGAAAGGCATGAATTCACATCCAGGTTTTTTTAGGAGGTGACACCTCACCGTTGCCCTATGGTGCCCCCCCTCTGGCCTCTGGACAGCACACAGTCCAGTCCCCTCCCCGCATTTCATCCTGCTGGTACTTGGTGGGCCAAGGAGCAGGTTGCTGGGAGGTCTCTTGCTGTAACTGGAGAGCTAACATTCCTAGGAAGCGTTCTCTCTCATCAACACTAAAAATGGCCTTGCTGGTCCACCCTAAACCCCACTTAAAGTTTTTAATTCCTCTCTCCATGTTTGTCTTCCAGTGGTGTATGGTTCCTGGTTTGACCATGTGAAAGGCTGGATGAAGCTGAAGGGCAGAGACAACTTCTTCTCGGTCACTTATGAAGAGCTGCAGCAGGTATGGCCCCAAGCCCGGCTACATTCACACACGTACACCACTCACCTCAGCTCCTGAGGGTTCAAACTTCCATCTTCAAATATTTTGGGCAGATGCTCCATCAATGAACAAAAGCCCCCTCCACCTAAGAGATCTTCGTTAAAGCATCCTGTTTGGCTAGTGTAATTGAAAGCTTGTCCAGTAAATCTACCTTTTCAAATAGCAACTTGGATCCTGCAGAAATTTTTCTCCTGTTGGCAGAGCAGACCTTCTTTTCCTGCTCTCCCTGGCTGTAGCCCCCCTCCCCAGCTGCTTCTGAAGGACAGGGAACCCAAAAGAACAGCCTGAGAGGGGAGTCAGAAGTCTGCCCTGCAAGGGACAAATGAATGGACATCATCACCCACCTTCGGCTGGTGGAACTCCTCTGTGGGAATGGGATCCAGCCCACGATTCCTCTCGTAACTCGAGATCCTTTTTCAGCATTTGCTTCAGTCAATGGGTCTTTTCCTGGCCTCATCCACACCACTTCCTTCAGTCAAAGAGATTTATATAGAATAATAATGCAAGTAGTGAAGATGAAGATACAACCAGAAGCAGCCTGGCCAAATGTATCCTGTAAAATGACCTCAGTGGCCCCCCATACCTCTTGACAATGGGCTGATCCTCACATGCATCACACACTCATTCACACTGTTGGGGTGACTGGTATTTTCCCCCCTTCTCCAGGACCTGAGAGGCTGCGTGGAGAAGATCTGCCGCTTCCTAGGGAAGGAGCTCACGAGTCAGCAAATCGACTCTGTGGTTGAAAACTCCTCCTTCCAGAAGATGAAGGACAACAAGATGTGCAATTTCACACTACTACCAGACACCGTCATGGATCACCAGAAGGGACCGTTCTTGAGGAAAGGTGAAAGCCGTGTGGAAGGAATGCCTCGCTCCAGAATGTGATCTTGCATGAATAGGTTTACTTATGCTCCCATGTGTCAGAAAGGTGATACAAAGCTAAAGTTGAAGGGCTTGTTTAAGCTACAAAGGTTGTCTCCTGATTGCTTGCTTGGGACGACTGTTGTAGACAACGATGGCTAACAGCTCCTGAAATTTTTAACATGTATATGAGGCATAGATGAGGGATGGCCTGTGTCTCAGTGGCAGGGCATCTGTTCGGTATACCGAAGGTCCCTGGTTCAGTCCCTGGCATCTCCATTAAAATGGATCAAATAGTAGGTGATGTGAAAGACCTCCTCCTGGGAGCCTTTGCCTGTCAATATTGACCTTGATAGACCAATGGGATGACTCAGTAGAAAACAGCTTTATGTTCATTCCTAAGGAGTGAGTTGTGTGTGTTTGTGTGTGTGTGTGTTTAAAGATGCACCTGGGAAGCTCTGAAGGCAGCAGCTTGGCCAACTGCATATTCCTAGGAGGGTTATGGATGCTGAGGGCCGACAGTGGGAAATCAACCAAAGGGGAGGGGCAGGGCATTACTGAGCTGGGTTAGACATGACCCAAGGATGGCCGAGGAAGTCTGGATTCCGGTCTCTCTCATCTCTCCAGCCCTTTACAAACATTCAGGCTGGGTTTTGCTGAACAAGTCCATGTGCCTTTTCATACAGTCTTACAGAAGGTGGAGTCCACCAGCACCGCTATCCCCAGTTATTTAATGACCTGACTAGGCCTTCTGTGACCCAGAAGCAGAATGAGTTTCACGTTCTGTGCCGTCACAAAAGTGCCCATGGGAAAGAAGGGAATGACACTACACCACACATACAAAAATTCCCCTGATTGCTGAACCCTGTTGTGTTGTTTCAGGAATCTGTGGGGACTGGAAGAATCACCTGACGCCGAAGCAAGAAGAACACTTTGACCGTGTTTATCGGGAGAAGATGCAGGATATGAGCGTGGCCTTCCCGTGGGACTGAAGAATGCCCGATAGTTCCTCGAAATATGTATAGCATCTTCACACTCGGCCAAATTCCTCCTGCCGAGACTCAGATCCTGTTAGATATGGAATTCTTGATCTTGCAACTGTGATTGGATGATTGAGCAAGAATGCCACAGTATACACTACAGAGAGCAACGTAAAAGTTAAAAGGTACTCAAGGTTGAGTGCCAGAAATTGCTCTTTACAAAGTATACCCTTATGTGACTCAGGAGTGTTGTGTGTCTGTGTCTGGGTGTTGGTTGGGTTGGCAAATAACTTCCTTTCAAAGGCTGTAGTTACTAGTCACCCTTACGCCACTGTGCTACAGCCCTTAGAAAGTTGGTAAAATTCCTTCCTCTTCCCAATCCCCTTCCTAATGTACACTGTGTCCCTCCAGGTGAACATCCACCATGGAACTTCGTTTTCTGTGCAAATCACTTGCAGTCTGTCCCAATTTTGTACATGCCTGTTGATGATTCAGAAACTGTAGATTAGAGAAGAAGAGAAGAGATTGGATTTATACCTTGCCCTTCACTACCCAAAGGAGTCTCAGAGCAGCTTACAAACTCCTTTCCCTTCCCCTCCCCACAACAGGCACCATGTGAGGTAGGTGGGGCTGAGAGAGCTCTGACAGAAACTGCTCTTTTTTAAGAACAGCTGTGCCAGAACTATGGCTTGCCCAGGGTCATCCAGCAGGTGCAAGTGGAGGAGTGGGGAATCAAACCTGGTTCTCCCAGATTAGAGTCCGCACACTTAACCACTACACCAAACTGATTATAACTATATCAAAGAGATCTGATGTCTCAAGTACCGATACCTTTTCGTTTTACTAGCCACCAGCAGCAGTCCACATTTTATATTGCTGAGAAAGGAAAAATATCCCAATGCCGAGACTGTGCTCCTAAGTAGTGTACGATTAAAAATATTATGTGCAGATGGAGAAAGTGCATTCAGGCCATAAAAATATATGAATCCTGTTAGCAAAACACATAGGGGATTTTTGGGAATTATAACCAAGTAACCAAATATAATTTTACCTGATTTTGCACCATTGGCCTTGGCCTTAGTTCTTATCTACAGACAGAATGTTAGACCAAAGAGCTCATTTAGGATAAAGCAGCTTGATGTGCTTGTTTGGTTTGGTATAGATACTCCCTTGTCAACCCCAAAAGCTGGGCTCAGTTCATGGCAGGGAGGTGAAAGGGCCGGCTGGATGAAGCTATCAAAAGAAGTTTGGTCTTGTAGAGACAGATTAACATTGGTTCCTTCTGAGAGTGGCACTTTGAGTAGAAACTGGACCACTGGAACCCTCGTATCCCTGCTAGGAGCCTGAACAGGCAGATGCTGATAGGATCAGTGTGGCCACCCAGGTTTTCAGTTTCTACAGCTAAATTTAGGGCCTTCTTTAAAATCCCTTTAAAATAGCTGCAGTGTGAATGGGTTGGGTCCATACAGATGCCTTCATAGTTCGGGTCTCAGAAACTTCCTCAATAAATTCTAAGCCAGCCATTTGACACAGAAGTCTAAAGTTCTTTTGTTAAATAACACTGACTTTCAGGTCAGCACTGAAGCATCCTGTTGGACTGAAACGTTATTTGGCTGGCTTTAGATCAGTTCTGTGTCCATTTTGAAACCCCCAAAAGCTTCCTTATACGGAGTAAGATCATGTTGGAATATGCCAGGTCTATTGTGCATAGAGAAAGAAAATGACAAGGACATCCTGCAGGGGGCAGCAGAGGAGAGAGCTACTTAGAATAGTGAAATTAGGGACTTCCTACTATTTTCAGATAGTCTCCTTCCTGTCTCCCGATTGGCTCAATTAGGGTTCCCCCCAGCCAGCTTCTGCTGAGAACTGATCGTTACTGACTCCCTCCTGGCTAGTTAGATGGTTAGACTTCTTTTTCCTCTCTCCTCTTTCTTAAAAAAATCATTCTCTTCTTAATAAACTGACTTAATTCTTTAAGCAGCTTGTGCTTCCGTTTACTGCATATCTACATTCTGCCAACAGATCGGTGGTCTGTCAAAGTCTTCATTTAACTGTCAGTGTCTCTCCAGGATCTCAGGGAGTGATCGTTTGCATGCAATTGGACAGAACACAGCCAGGAAGGATATGCACTTCCGATACCCTAGTCAGAACCTAATATTGTCAAAGTATTAGAAGCATGTGAGAGTGAGGCTGACAGAGCCTGTGTTAAGAAGTGAAAGATTTAACTGAGGCCCCGGTCACACTGGGGGGAAAGGCACGGCTAAAGTGCGGTTTTTTTGAGCCGCATTAAAAGAGAAGCACGGCGGCGGAATCAGACAGATCCCCCCAGCCGCCACGCAGGTCCTCCCCGGCATGATCAGATGCCAGGAGGAAGCCACAGACCAGAGAGCGAGGCAAGCCCACTGCGCATGCGTGTGCATGTGCAGTTCAGCAGGACCTCGCATGCTGCGGGAGAGACGGGCGCGCCGGCGATCAGACGGCCGTCCCTGCAGTGGATTTTCTGGTAAGTACTAGTGTTCTCTAGGGGTTTTTTTGATCCACATCTTTGGCCGGAAGAGACGGATCGGGGACGGGTGCGCGCCGCTTCCCAGATGTTGCAGTGTGATCGCGCCCACTTGATGCCCCCCCGATCCGTCCCTCTTGTGGATCAAAGCCTCCCGTGTGACCGGGGCCTGAGCTAAATGAAATAAAGACTGGACAAAGTATAATCTGAAGAAAAAGGAGGATTTGAGAGTGAGGAGTGTTTGTGAAGTGAAAGAGGGTGATAGTCAGAAGTTATTACTATACACTGAAGAGATAAGTTTCAAAACATCTTGAAGTCAATATGCTTTGCCACCACACTTGGAATGAAGAGACGGACACCAATATGGATTTAACAAGGGCCACTTTATTATTTATAATCAAACAACTGGCGAGGTGCTAAAAATGTACTGAGGAATATGACCGGTGTCAAACTCATGACCGCCTTCATCTCCTTCTGGGCGATGCACCTTCCCTGATATCGAGCCACCCAATGTAGCTCTTGACCAGCAGCTTGGCATATCACCACTAAGTGATCCAGCGCCAACAGCACCCCTTGCCTCAAATCTGCCAGAAATATAGCGCTGCCCTTGTTAAAGAGGTGCACCCTGTTCCTCCTATACAGGTCCGTTAACTCGACCCGTATATCAGGGTGCAACAAGAAGAGACCCAAGCCACTTTCCATGGCATTTCTAAGCTGCCCATCGGCGTTTTGTCTCGCCCAGCCCAAGGACCTATGAACCCCTAGGCTACGCCACACCTGGCACAGCCAAATTGCAGAAAAGCCACCTGTACCCTGGCAACCAGCTATCTTTACGCCTAGCGGGGGTCCTCAAAATTGCGTCAACCTGGCTGGGCAGAATAGCCACCAGACTATCTGTGCTCCGGTCTCCTTGCTCTTATCATTGTAAGGTCAGCCCCCACTTGTAACACCATGGCAGTGTCCATCATGGTGAAGCAGCATAGCCGACCCGACTATCTGCACTCTGGGCCTCCTTGCTCCTATCATTGCAAGGTCAGCCCCCCGCTTGTATCACCATGGCATTGTCCATCATGGCGAAGCAGCATAGCCGACCGAACTATCTGCACTCCGGGCCTCCTTGCTCTTATCATCATAAGGACAGCCCCCACTGTAGCACCATGGCCTTGTCTGTTATGGCAAAACAGCATAGCCAACCAGACTTTCTGCACTCCAGGCCTCCTTGCTCTCATCATTGCAAGGTCACCCTCAACTTGTCCTGCAAGGGCCTTGCCAGCCATACTGTCCACCCTCTGGGCCATCACAAAGTCTGCCTCCCCCTCGTAGCACAAGGGCCTTAATGTCCAGAGTGTCCTCCTGGCCCGGGGGGTGGCCCAAAAGACCGTGCTGTGGCCGCAGATGTTGGCACTTCATCTCGCCCCGCGGCCAAGCAGCACCTGAAAGAAAAACCTCATTAATAACTTAACTTTGCAATTCCATTCTTCGAATGCTAGGCGAAAGCCGTCACCGGCCCCCTGAACACAGCGTCCCCCCCCCCACAAATGTGCAGTGACCAAATAGAGGTCCTGATCTGAACAAGGTCCCACTGACCCTACCGCACGGCAAGGGAACGCATAACCCAGGGCAGCTGTAGTGGAATTGACACTGAACCAAGAAGAGTGAGTCCCAAACTTCATCCCAGGAAAGGCTCAACTTGCCAAGGCCCAGGCACTACCGCCTATCTATACCTTGTGGCTAATGTTCATATACCTTGTGGCTAATGTTCATTCACTGGAATGGGAACCTGAATTCAGTGGACCCTATTCCATATATACATAAGTAAGGCTAGGCTGCCATGTCAGAAAGTAGCTCTTTCTTGGCCAAGTGAGTGGGCAGAACCGCCCCCACAGAACCTCCCTGGAAGCTACCTGCCCCATTCCTGTTGCTGTGGCAGCACCACTGCATCCCAGCTGGCACCGTCCACAGCCTGTCATGACCAACGCCACTCTTGCAGGCCGTGGCGACTCGCTGGACCTCGCCTTAGGGACAATTGCGCTATTAAACCTGTGAAGACTGCTCATTAGGACCAACCAATGACCCGTAACGACGTTCTGGCTGTCCAATTCCCAGATCACAGCATCAGGTTGGAAGCCACACTGTATTCCTGCTAAAACAGAAGGTACAAATGACGTATTGTAATGGATATTTTCAAATCCTAACCCAAGACAAGACCAAGCCAGTTTGCCAACTCAGAGTGCATTCACACTGTCAAATTCACATGTTGCTGACAAGGATTCCTTCGCATAAGGAAACCCTAAAAGTTCAGATGCTTCCATTCAGTTTACATTTGATTTCACTCCTAACCACTGCACCGGAAAAACATCCCTATATGCAGGGCTATTTTTGGGCAGGAACGCACAGGAACAGAGTTCCGGCTGGCTCCCAAGTTGGCCACGCCCAGCAGGAACTCATTAGCATAATAGGCCACACCCAACAGCAGGAACTCATTAGGACTGGCTACATTAGGGGTGTG